CGTAATTTGCCGCAGGTTCGTAGATTCGCCCCGTTATAGTTGCGTACTACGGGTAGACCGGTAGTGTACGCGGTGCAAAGGCGCGCCAGTGTCTTACACCCTGTAAGCTGATGAGAAGTGAGGGAGAGCCCTCAGTTCTCTCATGCAATTGCTGACATCTTGTCAAGATAACTTAGAGTGCTTCTCTTTTGTACAAATATTCACAATAAGCTATACGAATTACTTGGTTGTATCTCTGAAGGGCGACTGTTGGGCGCATCTGTAACGCTAGTTCTCTGGCCTTTATCTGACCAGAGACGAGCCGCAATGAAGGCAAAGACTTAAAGCAAGAGTTTCCCAAAAGCAGCGGACCTCCGGAAACGGAAGGGTAAATTACCCTTCCAAAAACTGTAACAAGGGACCTTTCCGCACAAGAAAAAACAATAATTTCGGACCGATAAGGGCCCTCACTCCCAAGACACGAAGGGCGGGGCGTGTGTGCAACCCCTCGGCCGAGACACCGGGAATCCTGGAATTGACGGACGATAAGACGTCGGACGCTGGAATCCCATCGGTAGAAAGCGCGGGAACACCTCCCGAGACAAGAAAGACCAGATACCGGAGGGACAACGGGCAGGCAAAGAGAAGGAAGAGCGTGACCTCAACAGGAAACCAAGAACAGGACGGAGGGAAATCATCACCTGACTGGAGGATGGCTATGGTGGAGTTAATCAAGGAAATGAAGGAGGACAATCGCTCCAGGAACGAGGAACTGGTGATGATGCAACGACAAGCGGCCGACAGAACCGAGGAGCTAATGAAACTACATCGCCAGGCTAGTGATGGAAGACAAGCCCACCCCGAAGGCCGAATCTACTCCCCCCGAGACAGGATCAGGCGGAAAGAGATCACCGCGTCAGAGGACGGGTCCAATATAAAGTCATTCCTGAGCCTAGTGGAGCGGGAATTCAGGGACTCTGAGGTACCAATGGAAGAGTGGGGAGGACTTCTGGGAAAATACCTAACGGGCAAGGCCTTAGCTTTCGTGGAATTCCTGAAACAGTCCGGAGTAGATATGACGGACTGGAACCATGTTCGAAACAGGCTGTGTGAGAAGTTCTGCTCGCTGACGCGGGAGACAATGATAGACATGTTAGCTGAGAATCGTTGGACAGGGGACTACTCTGGGCACATTGCTCGCTTCACGGACGTAGTATCGATGGGCGCGCACATACCCGCAGAGGAACTAGTGACGTGGTTCTTTACGCTACTGCCTCCAGAGATAGGGGAAAGAATTACTAGAGAGGGAACTAAGGAGTTTCACGACTGGCATGAGGCAGCGGCGGCCTTGCGGGACTGGGCCATACCTCTAGAGGCGTGGCGCGCCAGAAGGATACGAAGTTTACAGGAGTTCACGGCTCGCGGAAGGCGGCGCCCGGGGTTAGAAGGAAGCGTGATCACGTCTGGGAGGACCGCCCCAGTGAAGGGAGACGCACGCTCTAGGCCGAACTGGCAGACAGATGGCCCGAGGGACCAGGACGTAGCTGGACCTGATGCCATCTCAGTCCCAGTCTCCCCCAACCCGGGACAGGAAGAGACGGGCGAAGGAGTCAAGAGGAGGTTAGAAGGCGGATACAGCGAGAACGAACGAAATCGTAACCGAGCGCACCCTTGGAGACAGGTGAGGCTAGCGGACGGGACGACCGAATTGCACCCGTAGAGACACGTGATGTTGGTGGGAGACCGCATAGAAACGGGTAACGAATGCAACGAGAACGAAGGCGGGCAGGCGAAACCGAACGAAACGGATTTGAAGGGCCAAGAAGAGAAAGGCGAAGCGGTCGAATGTGGTGAACTCACTCACGGCCCCGGAACGGAGCCCGTAAGGGGGGCAGAAACCGGAAACTCAAAAAACAAGGGGAAAGAGGAGAATATCGAAGGAGATCGGCTATTACCCGAATGGCTATGGTGGCAAGGAGGTGGCGCCCCAGAGCGAACGCTCGAATATTTGGGTCCACTTTGTGGAATCGGCGAATCTGCAGTACTCGAGTTCGAAATTACCGGTCCAGGGTACGAAGGACTGCTCGACACCGGAGCTTCACGAAGTTTCATCCGCCCAGCGGCGGTGGAACAACTGGGACTAAAGGTACGGACATTGAGGGAGCCTTTCTCATTCACAGTAGCGAACGGCGCCACCATACATATCGATAAGGAAGTACCGAGACTGACCATGTTGTGCGGAGGAGAATGCTTTACCGGGGACTTCCTGATCGGTCCCATACCGTTCCCTATCATCCTGGGAATAGATTGGTTAGTGAACCACAAGGTAGCCTGGTATTTTCAGTCAGACAAGCTTAGGACGTATGTTAACGGCCGATGGTGCGACTTACCAGTTCTCAGGAAAGGAGGAGAGGCGACCTCCCAAGGGGAAACGACGAACAAGGATCGGACGAAGACGGCTGCGGACCGTGCTTACGAGGAGTTGGCGGCGCAGGTAGCCAAGATGTCGGTGGAAGAGGCGACAGCACTCCTGCTCCCCCCTCCTAAACGCTGTAAATAGAGACACAGTGCGGGAGAACGGGTGCGAATCAAGGACATCCTGCAACGAGCAAGGGAGGACACGGCTAACCTGAAGAGGGCGCTTGAAGGCCTACATTTCGTTTTCGCGTCACCGGCTACGGAACCAGAGCAGATTATACACGTGCCAACCGAGGGGCAAGGGCCACTACTTTGCGCACTGGTGGAACACACGAGTTCCACCCCTAACAGGCGGGACTGGACGCACGGGGAGGCTGGCGAGACCTATGGCACGCCCCAGGCAGACGACGACGAGTCACCATGGCCTAAAGCTCAACTATCGTATACCGAATTCGACGCGTGGATGGCAGGACCCGAGGCACCCCGAATACCAGAGCCGATCTTGACAGTGTTGCAACAACACAGGAAACTGTTCCCCGATAGCCTACCAGGCGGACTACCTCCCAAGAGACCCTACGACCATAGGATCCTCCTCTTACCAGGCAAACTCCCGACGCGAGCTCCAATATACAAGATGCCGCCCGATCAGCTGGCCCACCATAACAAGGAGATAGCTCGTTTGATAGCTAAAGGTTGGATAGGACCCACGTACTCGCCCATCTGCGCGCCCAACATAATGGATGATAAGCGGGATGACGGAAGCGGCGAACGTAAGATGCGGATGGTAGTGAACCACCAGGCCCTGAACGCGTTGACTATTGCACCCGAGTTCCCCATGCCCAGTGGGCAAACGGTGCTCGAGATGCTTGGTGGAGCAGCCTACTTCTCGACATTAGATCTAGAGGCAGGTTTTCACCAAATCCGCATGGCCCGAGAGGACCGCTGGAAGACTCCCTTCCGTTCGGTGCAGGGCCTCTTCGAGTACAAGGTAATGCCCTTCGGTCTCAAAGGGGCACCTGCGACCTTTCAAGCTAGTATCAACGCCTACTTACAGCCGTTGCTCGGGAATGGGGTTATCACCTACCTCGATGATGTCCTAGTCTACAGCGCGATCATAGAGTCGCACACCCAACTCCTGAAACAAGTTTTGGGAATTTTCTAAAAGCATCAATTTTATCCAAAGCTTACCAAGTGTAGATTTGGACAGCGGGAACTAACGTACCTGGGGTATCAGATCGGCGCCGATGGTATTAGGCCCGCAGCCGACAAGGTAGAGGCGATTAACATGTGGCCGGAAGTCCTAGCCAACAAAACACAAGTCAGACAATTCCTAGGCACTGTGAATTACTGCCGGATGTTTATGGGCCCTACGTTTGCTGAAGTTGCGAGGCCGTTAGTCGAATTAACGCGCACGAATTCGACTTTTACCTGGACGGAGGATCATACTGCCGCAGTACGACGACTTAAGCGCCTTCTCTCTGAATATACGACTCTGCAGGTTCCCGATCCTAATAAACCATATACGCTGTACACCGACGCATCTGGCTATGCTATAGGGGCAGTCTTAGAACAGGAGGGCAAACCCGTGGGATTTCTTAGTCAGGTTATGAGCGCCACGCAGCAATGGTATTCCATCTACGATCAGGAGCTACTGGCGCTTATCTCAGCCCTGGACAAGTGGCGACACCTTCTCCGCGGGGCCCGAGTCACGGCCTATAGCGATCACCAAGAATTGACGTACATTCAGCAAATCAACGCACACAAACCTCTACGCGGGCGAACTGGACGGTGGTTGGACTTCTTAGCGGAATTCCCACATCTTACGATATCCTACCTTCAAGGAGCACATAACAAAGTCGAGGATGCCTTGTCTACACACCCTCAACACCAGTCCACAGCCTCGACAACGACCCCACCACTTGTGGTTCCCCTTACCCGACCTCGACCGGCACCCATGCCCGCGACTCCTCGATATTCCACTCGCTCCTCGTCGGGAAACGCACCTAGTATCGACTTTAGAGCAATTGCAAGGGTTCGCTCTCAACGCGCGCGCTCCAGGCAGCCTTCTTCCTCCTCACCAGTCACGCTTCTCACGCCTTCAGCTGCGCCTCAGGTTGGGCTGGCCGCACGCCCATCTCCGCCTCCTTTTGTGCCCAGCAATTCTCCCTCGTCCACAGCCTCCTCCTCCTCTCCGCCGTCCTCTGATCCGCCTACCGCAATTGCGACTACTGACCTCGTTCCGGAATCGTCCTCGGTGTCGGAAGACCTGTCGCCACAACGCTGGGAAGAGGGTTATCGGCGCTGTCCCATCTTCCGCGACATTGTCCTCACGGCGGACCATCATGATGAAGCCGAGTTTCTTCACCAACTACAAGGCCGCCGATACCGTTTCAAGTTCTGCCGACCCTATCTATACGTTTGCATACATGGGCTCTGGCGTATCTGCCCCCCTACCTTACAGGAATTTCTTTCGCATCTCCTTTATCGTCATCACGACCACGTTACGGAGGGACACCGTGGAGAACGTAAGACGTTCCTGTCTCTCAGTAAGCTCTACTACTGGCCGGGTATGCGAGCTTACACTGCTGCATATGTCGAGTCTTGCGTGCAGTGTAGGGCATCGAAGGCGCTTTCGCAACGGCAAGCGGGCCTCCTTCAGCCCCTTCTCGTTCCCTCCAGAAGCTGGAGTCACGTCAGCTTGGGCTTTATGACGGATTTACCCCTTACTCCTCGAGGCCACGACTGCATTCTCGTTCTCGTTGATTCCTTAAGCAAGGTGGCCCACTTTATTCCTACGAAAAAGACAGCCAACACAGCAGACACAATAGAATTACTCGCAGATCAGTTGATTCGCTATCACGGCTTTCCGGATGTCTTAATATCTGATCGGGACCCTCGTTTTCAGTCGCAACTGTGGCAGCAGCTGTGTCAGCGCTTCCACATAAAGCGCGCGATGTCCTCACCTGATCACCCGCAATCCGACGGGCAGACAGAGAGGGTCAACCGCACTCTGGAGCAAATGCTCCGCACCTATATTCAAACAGACGAGAGGGAGTGGGAACGGCTCTTACCGGCACTAGAGCTTGCCTACAACACCACCAGCCATTCATCGACAGAACTTAGCCCCTTTGAAATCATTATCGGTCAAAACCCGGTCACCGCAGCAGATCTGGACATTGTAGGCAATCTTGCGCCCACCGTCACCCCGCCAATGACGAAGATCTTCCAGCAGCTGTGTGATAGGGCCCAAAGCCATATCCAAAACGCTAAGTGGCAGCAGAAACGTTATGCTGATGCCCACCGTAGCGATGTCCACTATAAGCCTGGCGACAAGATTTGGATCAGCAGCCGCCATCTTGCAGGCCTCAACCAATCCCGCAAGTTGGAGCCCCGCTTCCGTAGACCCTTCTCCATATTGGAACGCATCGGTCAGGTAGCATATCGCATTGCGCTCCCTCCCACTTATTCCTGCCACAATGTTTTTCATGTGTCTCAGCTCGTGCCGGATCGTCCTCGCGATCCAATGATGCAGTCTAAGGAAGCCGCTGTTGGATGGCCACCGGTACAGGGCCCGGACGGCGCCCCGACCGACACCTACGAAGTGGATTATATCCTCAATCAACGTGGCTCGGGCCCGGATACCCAATATCTCGTTAAGTGGTGTGGCGCCCCCGAGGACCGCGCAACATGGGAGCCGGATGAGCATCTCACCAACTGCCCGACAATTCTTCGTGCATGGCGCCGCTATTTCAAGCGCGCGAAGGGCAATGAGCGAGGACTCCAGGACGTCGCCGCGAGCTCAGAGCACCCCAACGCGGCTAGGTCCCCCTCCCAGCCACTTTTCTCGCAAGGGGGGGAAGAGGCGGTGCGGAGCCCTCCGGCAGCCGCACCACTCAGGGCATCAGACAGCTCGAATTCGCTGGATAGAAATCTATCGAAGGCCAGTACTGTAGATTCGGAAGCGGGACCTGAAAGCGTAATAGTCGAGAAGTAGACGAAGACGGCGGAATACCGGGAACTGGAGGCAAAGGGAAGCGAGTGAGGAGGCAAAGGAACCAATCGACGATGGGAGGGAAGAAGTTTCAAGAGAAGACGGGGAGTTTTCGGCCGAAGGGGGAAGTTGTAGTGCGCTGCCACTACAATATACAACTAAAGACGAGTAGTGAACAAAAACGACGGAAAACTTATAATTAGGTACAAAAAACGGGAAATAAGTTAGTCTAACTGTACAGTAAAATTGGTTAGTCGAGGTAGCCGACTCCTTCTTAGAGGCGGAGCCACTAAGTATGAAGGCAGGCGGCAGTGCCGCGGCCCATCCGCCGGCAACCCCCCTTGCGGTTCTAGGATCTAACGACCGTTCACCCTGCGAGGGGGGCGGGGGGCCCGGTCAGAGAATTTCTCTTAGAGAATAACCAATTTCCTTCTAATATTTGCCCACGTAATTCCCGTTAACGCTGTAATTTACCGCAGGTTCGTAGATTGGCCCCCTTATAGTTGCGTACTACGGGTAGACCGGTAGTGTACGCGGTGCAAATGCGCGCCAGTGTCTTACACCCTGTAAGCTGATGAGAAGTGAGGGAGAGCCCTCAGTTCTCTCATGCAATTGCTGACATCTTGTCAAGATAACTTAGAGTGCTTCTCTTTTGTACAAATATTCACAATAAGCTATACGAATTACTTGGTTGTATCTCTGAAGGGCGACTGTTGGGCGCATCTGTAACGCTAGTTCTCTGGCCTTTATCTGACCAGAGACGAGCCGCAGTGAAGGCAAAGACTTAAAGCAAGAGTTTCCCAAAAGCAGCTGACCTCCTTCAGCGGTACCTAGGCATCCTGGGCGTTGAGCCTAGGGCCAGGGTGTCGCGGGGAGGAGGCAGCCCGAAATGAGGTTGCAGCGCACCGCGCTGCGGCTGGCAGAGCAAGCCAGCCCCACGCGTGCACTAGTGGAAGCTTCAGGGAAGCTTCATTTGCTGCATGCTCCGCCTCGTAACGAACTTGTATAACGTTTGCAGGCGCTTACGCGCAGCATGCCAAAGCCGTCGATAGGCTGCTGAGCTAACTCTGCGCTAACTCATGTTACAGCATCCCTGGAACCCCACAGCTGAGTATAGCGAGCTGGCAAGCAATATCTATCATACTGAACAAATATATCAGACTAACAAAGGTTAAGTAAATAAGTTCTCTCAGTTAATTCTCTCTCTGCAAATTTGTTGTTGTTTCTCAACCCCAGTAGAGCAGGCACTGCGGCCTTTGGGGCTGGGAGAGGAGACGGCGTAGCCTGATGCAAATAGCTTTTGAACCAAGGCACAAGCGACCCTCTCCTATAATCATACCAATTGTCACTCCACAAAGAATGCTTAATGCTTTCACCAATGTTATATTCAAAGTGTATCAGTAAGAACTGACAGTCACTTTCACTATTCATGCAACCCTCACTCACTTCACAAGGAGCACGACATTGCTGCCGTGATTGTAGGGAGTATTCATTACATACGCAGCCTTAGCTGAAAAGGAAGAAAGCGGGTCTGGGAATGATCCTCATTAATTGCATATATATATATATATATATA